TTATGGTAATCTAGATCTCGATGCATCCATGGATGTCCAGATCTCCAAAGTTGCATCCATGTTTGTCCGCACTCGAACTCTGTTCCTCCCCTCCATGGCCATCCAGATCAGCGAGAATGGCAGTCATGGAGCCTCACCGTCTCCAGATCGGGAGACGTCTTGTCGACGGTGAAGATTGTCTCATTTATGACGTTATGGAGCTTGCTTCACGATTGCATGATCCGTCCATGATGATGTGTTCGACTTTGGAGCAAGTTGCTATGATAGAGATGTGAAGAGAAGGAGGAGGAAGGAAAAAAAAAAAGGGAAAAAACCACCAAAAACCCCAAACTTTATCATCTGTGACACATTTACCCCAAACTTTTTTTTGTGACACCAAAAACCCCAAACTTTGCTATTTGTGACACATTTACCCCAATATATTGTAGCCTAGGGTATTTTAGTCTTTTTCCCTTTTTCTATTTTTTTTCTGTTTTTTTTTTCTTTTTTCCGGCAAGGCTGCCCTCGCCGGCGAGGTCTCCGGCGACCTCGCCGGCGCAGGCGAGGTCTCCGGCCACCTCGCCGGCGCAGGCGAGGTCTCCGGCCACCTCGCCGGCGCAGGCGAGGGCCGCCCTCGCCCGCCCGGTGCGAGGGCCGCCTCGCCGGCGTTGGGCGAGGCGACCCCGCCTCGCCGGAGTCTGGGCGAGGGACCTCGCCCGCCTGTGCGAGGTGAAGGCCGCCTCGCCCGGGCGGGGCGAGGGTCGCCGCCGGCGTCGGGCAAGGGCTTCCTCGCCCGCCCGGCGATGGCGGCCCTCGCGTATCCCGGCGAGGGCGACCTCGCTCGACGCCGGCGAGGGTCGCCTTAGCCGGATCCGGCGAGGCCGCCCTCACTCGACGCCGGCGAGGGTCCCCTCTCCGTATCCGGCGAGGGCGGCCCTCGCTCGACGCCGGTGAGGGTCGCCTCGCTCGACGCCGGCGAGGGCCCCTCGCGGATCCGGCGAGGGCGGCCCTCGCCGGCGTGCGAGGGTCGCCCGCTCGGGCGAGCGAGGGCGCCCTCGCCGACACCTCGCCCCCTCGCCGGCGTCGGCGAGGGGCCGCTCGCTCGCCCAAAGCGAGGGCGACCCTCGCCCGACGCCGGCGAGGCCGCCTCGCCGGATTCTGGCGAGGGGGCCCGCCAAGCATCGAGCGAGGCGGCCCTCGCCGATCCGGCGAGGGCGACCGTCACACGGCGTCGAGCGAGGGTCGCCCTCGCCGGATCTGGGCAAGGGCCGCCCGCCCGGGCGGGGCGACGCCGCCCAAGCGAGGGCGACCTCGCCCGACGCCGGCGAGGGCCGCCTGCCTCGGGCGGGGCGAGGGAAGCCTCGCCCGACGCCGGCGGGCGCCCTCGCCCGCCTGTGCGAGGGCGCCTTCACCTCGCTGGGGCGAGGCGAGGGTCCCTCGACCGACTCCGGCGAGGCGAGGGCTGCCTCGGCCGACGCCGGCGAGGTCAGCCCTGGAGACCTCGCGGGCGAGGGCAGCCTCGCCGGAAAAAAGAAAAAAAAAACAGAAAAAAAATAGAAAAAGGGAAAAAGACTAAAATACCCTAGGCTACAATATATTGGGGTAAATGTGTCACAAATAGCAAAGTTTGGGGTTTTTGGTGTCACAAAAAAAAGTTTGGGGTAAATGTGTCACAGATGGTAAAGTTTGGGGTTTTTGGTGGTTTTTTCCCAAAAAAAAAACAAAAACCGAACTAAACCGAGCGAACTTTCTAGTTTGAATTTTGTATGGGTCGAGCAAAAAAAATATGCCATTTGTGTTTGGGTCGGTTCAAGTATTGGTGGAAACCGAACCAAACTTGCCCATTGACACCCATACTACCTACTAGACAAGTGTCATGAGCCAGTAGTTCCTTGATCGCGAAATAGCCCGTACGCCACCTGTCGAGTCAATAAGACCCCAAGCTAGGCCTCCTTCTATAGTTGTTCCTAAGAACAGTAGAACGAATCGAATCCTCGTATCGAATTGTACTATGCCCAGCTTAGCTCGGATATCCAGTCCTTCAAGCAAGACACACAGAACGCTTTAGGCACAACAACTGGTTTCGGTCTGCCATGGTCCCGTCTGGAGAGCGGCATCAGCATCGACCAATTTGTACATGGGAAGCCAACTCCACCTTTATAACTCTTAAGAGTATATTCATTCTAACCTAGAACTTTTAGGCTGCGCATGGCAACCATTCTGTGCCCGGGAACAGATTCTAGTCAGAAATTATTCTTTTTTATTCTGTGCCCGGGAACTGATTCTGAGCATTTGAAGGCATTTGGTAACGGCCCAAAATTTCTATTCCTGAAATAGTAAAAAGAACATAAATGCGTTTGGTAACGGCATAAAATTTCTTTTTATTAATAATATTTTAATAACATTTTAAATATTTTAATATTTCTTTCTTTTCTTTTTTTCTTCTCCTCCTTCTTGGCCATGGCCGGTAAAATATTTTTTAATTAATAATACTTTTATTTAAAATAATTTTTTTATTTTTTTTTGCCATGGTCGGTAAAAAATTTTCTTATAAAAATTTTTTTTATTAATAATTTTTTTTAAAATATTTTACTAAAAAATATTTTTATTGAAAAAAAATTTTTCTTTTTTTTTCGCCATGGCCTGGTCGCTGGCCATGGCCGGTAAAATATTTTTTTATTAATAATATTTTAATAAAAAAAAATTTTATTGAAATTTTTTTTTTATTTTTTTTGCCATGGCCTAGTCGCTGGCCATGGCCGGTAAAATATTTTTTTATTAATAATATTTTTTATAAAAATATTATAATTTTTTTATTTTTTTCGCCATGGCTTGGTTACTGGCCATGGCCGGTAAAATTTTTTTTATTAATAATATTTTTTTATTTTTTTCTCCATGGCCTGGTTGCTGGCCATGGCCGGTAAAATTTTTTTTTATTAATAATATTTTTTTATTTTTTTCGCCATGGCCTGGTCGCTGGCGTTGGCCGGTAAAATTTTTTTATTAATAATATTTTAATCTCGCCAGATACGGCGAGAGTGACCCTCGCGCCGGACATTAGAAGCTATATTAAAAACCAAGAAAAAGAAGAAGAAAAAATAATTCTCATTTTTGTTCCCAGAATCAAGAAGCTACTTTTTTTTATTCTTGATTCTGCTCCAAAACTGATTCTCGGCACAAATTTGCAAGAATTTGTGCTCAGAATCAAAAAATCAAACAAACGGATTTCTATTCCCAAACTGATTCTGGGAACAAAAGAACAGAATCAAACACTATTTGGCAAGTTGCCATGCGCAGCCTTAGTACAAACCACCATGATGCTACTCCCACGAACTAGTCGTATTATTCCCTCTGCATCACTCACTCTTTATCCTGACAACACCAAGCTCCACTTATAAGGGTACGAGAATACAAGAGAATCACGGTCCATGACATTTTCCCCCACTCAATTCCGCAACGTCCTCGTTGCAGGTTGTTCTGTCGCATCCCTGCATTTCCTAATCATCAATGCCACTCCTTGGGACTTACATGAATGGCAATGCTCGCTCAATAGAACAGGTCACTCCACTCCACTAGTAGCTTCCCTCGAGCAAAGCTGTTCACAAATCTCCAATCACTTATGCTCCCTGACAAGTGTGGCATCCCTAGCCAATTGCGCAGCACCTTCTTTAGCCTACTAGGCTTTTCCTAATCTCAGCAGACCAATGGAGGATTCTCCCCTTGTTGGAAACGTGATAGCAGACCTCCTCTTGAGATTCGCCAATTGATTCAGGAACATTAACCCTATTCAGTAAGCAATTCGATTCCACCCTGTGCCCCCATTGCCATCCTATAAGCTAGACGTGAGCCGCACGTTGTTCGAGCTTAGCCCTAGCAATTCACTCTCCATTCCTCATAGGATCGGAAAGACCACAGACATTCCTCGAATTACCAACCTACTGGAGGGATCCCTACTTTGATACTATTTGTCACGAGTCGGTAGTTCCTTGGCCGCGCAATAGCTCGTGCGGTGCCTAGGGAGTTAATAAGACCCCAGGCCAGCCTTCCTTCTATATTTGTTCCTAAGAATAGTACGGCAAATTGCATCTTGTATCGGATCATATCACATTCAGCTTAGCTCGGACATTCAGTCCCTTGAGCGAGACACAAAACGCTTTAAGCACAATAACTGATTTCGGCATGCCATGACCTTATCAAGAGAGCGGCATCAGCTCCCGATCAGTTTGTACACGGAAGGCCAATTCCTTCTTCAGAGCTCTTAACGGTATATTCATTATAACATAGAACTCCTAGAGCAAATCACCCTAACGCCACTCCTACAAATCGGTCGTATTATCTCCTCTGCATCACTCACTCTTTATCCCAACAACACCTAGCTCCACTCACAAGGATACGTGAGTATGAAAGAATCACGGTCCGTGACACAAGCTTATCATTCCAACCCATCCCGACACAAGTGGGAAGCCAAAACCGGCGATACACCTTCACTCACTACTCATATTTTAAAACCTAAACAAGGTTTTCTAGTGTCCGGGGTCAAAATAGGTTGAGAATCGAACTTGTGATCGTCAACTTGTAGTCTTAGATCGCTTGATCAATCTCTGAAGTCCTAGATAGCTTTTGGTTCCATTTTTCCCATCAAGTCACACTTCATTTTTAAGGGGGGCAACATGGAAATCATAACACAAAATGAGAATTCACATAAAATAGTCTCATCCTGCATAATTGAGAGTCAGGATGGTCCCCAATCTCCCCATCTTGTCGCCAAGTTGTGGCCTGATTCCCGGGCTGGTCCACGTACTCTTCAATTATGGAGGCTGAGCTGTTCATTTTCTATCTCTTCAGATGGAGCATAGTCTTGATGAAAAATAAAAACCATGACAAAAAACATAAACCTAATAATGGGTCAACTAGATGGCCCAAGGCCATGTGCCTTGCTCCCCACCCACTGTTCATGGATCTTGTCCAATTGTCAGATCACAGTAAGCAAGCAAAAAACAAATTACAAAATAAATCCACAATTTACAAAAATAAAGACATTAGTAATAATAATATTGACAGGCAGGTACAATACACAGGCTCTCATGGTTCTTCATCATTTAGTACAAAATACATGGCATTACAAAATGGAGGGAACAGAACACCCAGTACAGCTACAGCAGTTGAAACAAAAACCAAAGAAGGTTGCACTTGCACATGAAACATGTCTTATGAACATATTACCGATTTCACAGGGTTGTTTTTCTTCCTTTTCCCTAAGAGATTTTTCAGTAGTTTCTTCTCAGACCTAATTGAGATAAGGAGGAAAAAACCAAAGAGAAAAAAGGGGAATATAAAAGGGCAAGATAAAAAATAAAAAAAAAGAAGAAGCATCCGAACTCCGCGCTCGATCCCTCTCGAGCCGGTCTGATTTCCCGTTTCGGCGACGATCGCGAGCACGAGGGGGACTTCAGCGTACCGAGACAGGCCGGAGTCGCGGTGCTTCAGCTTCTGTTCTTGCATTTCTCTACTGCTCTTGGTGCTGCAATCGACCGGTCAAAACAAACGTAAATCAGATTCAATTGGGCTAGACATGAAAAAAAAAAGGGTAATCTCGAGCACATCACGTGATAGTGGGTACTAACCAAGTCCAATCGCCTCAGATCCTTTCATGATCCTCAAACGCTTGCACGAATCGACAAACATACTGCGATCGGAAAGGGAAACTCAAGTCAATTATCATTCATGCATGGTTTGAGATCATGCACAACTTTGGTTTAATTATTAGTTATAGAGGAAGGAGGCACTCACTCCCAAGGCACATCTCCCACAAGCATCCAATCACCATCCTTATCCTCATAAGTGGGGACATAGTCAGACCCGTTCAAGAGATCTATCAATTTGCTCTCATTCATGAAGTCCTTCATTCCTCCAGACCCACAATTACCTTCAAAAAAGAAAGAGAAAAAACAACCCAATTAGATTTCTGAACTAATCAATGAAATTCAATTATCCTGATTTTTCCACACAAAAAGAAAGAAAATGAATTACCAATGGTGAAAGAGCTGAACATCTTGGCCAAGGCATCAGAGAGGTCTTGATAGCTCTTGTACAGCTTGAGGTCCACCTTGCGCAGGTACGGCGCGCCGTCCATGCTCACTTTCACAAACGCCGCCGCGCCGGTCGCCGCCGGGGCACCGCTGCCCCCGGCGCCGCCCTTCTCGGCCTCGTCGGAGCCGTTCTTCTGGACGGCCATGATGTTCTTCCGGAAGGATCGCACGGGCGGCCAACCCACCACTTGCGCCCTGTGGACAAGTCGAAGCACCACGTCATGTGGTTGCAAAACACAAACATTTTCACCTCCATATTTGGATAAAGATCCAAACTTGAGCGGAAAATCATGAAATTTTTTGGACGTGTCAATAATAAGCATTGGGTAATTTCGATGGTGACGTTCATGTTCACTTTTTTTTTTTCTTTTTCGGCCATTTTCTCGGATTATTATTTGGTGGTTGAGAGGGGGAAAAGAGCTAAGAAAAAAGCAAAAGATTCCAAATGTTTTGTACTTTTCCCATGTCTCCCCGACAATCAGCCAAGGCCACAGATGTCAATTCTATCAGGACTGCTTTTGTAAGGCTTGGAATTGATGCCAAATTGAGATTCCCGAAGAAAGCAAGAGGAAAGGAAATATCCTCGCAAAAATCGACTTCCTCGTGGAGATAATTGATGGATGTGAAATAATTTATTCAAATTCAATCAAGAAAAGGGTGGGGAAGGGAAGAGACAATCTTCTCGGCCAAGACCCATTTCCTTAAATTTGTCCTAATTAAGAAGACAAATTAGATTTAATTTTGTTCCATGTTGCTTCATCATTCAAGAAAGTCGTACCAAATCGCAGATCATCAGCATCAACTCATCATCAACTCCTCCTAACTATGCAAGAACAAGACGGAACTCTCTCTCTCTCTCTCTCTCTCTCTCTCTGAGCTGCAAAACCAGATCTTCATGCAATAATGGAGCTACAGATGAACACGACCTCTCTCTCCATAGAAAGCTCGCCTGAATTCAGCTTAAAAATTTCGCTTATCTTACGGTAGACCATCCAAAGCTTAAAAAAAAAATTCGAAATTAGAGTTGTTGTTCAAGCAAAATCACTAAAAGGAAAAGTCAGCAACTCACTTGGCAGGAGGCTTCGCAACCTCGCTGGAGCTTGGAACAGCAGCGACGCTCTTCTCCTTACCGTCGTTGCTGTTCATCTTCTTCTCCGCCGGGACCGACGCCCTGATCTTCTCGGCGCTCGCGTCGTCATCCTTCGAGGAGAGGTTGAGCTTCAGATCGATGGTCTCCAAGAACACCCTCTTCCCGTTACCCCGCGCCGCGCCCTCGCAGCCGCTGTTGAACCCGCAGGCCTTCCCGGGTAAGCCCAGCCTCAGCTCCGTCTCCTCGAAGTCTATAGTGAACTTCTCTGCTGTCTCCGCACTCATGGTGCCTTTCTTGCTACTCTCTCTCTCTCTCTCTCTCTCTCTCTCTCTCTCTCTCTCTCTCTCTCTCTCTCTCTCTCTGCTCGATTGATCGCTAACACTCAACCCAAATCACCAAGAAACCCCACCAAGAAACCTCGGTTCGCTCCCCCGCCCAAAAAAAGGGCCTCAAGATCCCAGCTTTCTCTCACCAAACTCTCTCTCTCTCCGTCTCCCCGTCTCCCCGTCTCTCCTCTCCTTGTTTCTTGATGGGTGTCGCTTTGTTCTCTTCCGTTCTGCCCTGTTTTCGCTGGAGGGAGAGAGGACGAGGAGGAGCAGTGCGTGCGTGCGTGCGTGCGTGCAATAATGTCGCGAAGGGGAAAAAGAGTTTCGGAGATGCTTGCAAGTGGCAATGGCCAGGAAGAACAGATAGGGGAGGCCGAAATGGTGTTTCGGACAGATGCTTATAGCGCTGGGGGGAGAACGGACGGCTGGAGATGGGGACGCGTGGCGGGGGCGGGGCGCGGCCGAAGCTGGACCGTCCGCGGCCCTGTGCGGGGGGCGGGGGAGTGACGTCACTCGTGACGTGATCCGGGGGGAATGATTGCGTGGAGGCAAGTGGACAGGACTTTTAGTAGGCTTGGGGGTGCGGGCGTTCGTTTGTTGTTTGCCCCTTTTATCTGCCTTTGCCCTAGGAAAGGCTTTGGCTCCCCACCAAAATGCCAACAATTTTGTTCATCTTGTTCCCCCCCCCAAAATAATTATGACAATTGTCATGATAAAGAAATTGCAATTTGAAACACTTGCTAAAATTGTATTTAGGTTAGGATAATCTAATGTCCATTTAGATTAATTTGATGGCTATCTTTTGGCTCACGCGCATGGAAATTTCTTAAACCCTGAACTCTTGAAACTGTTGCGGCACTCGCGTAATTCGTTTCATAATTTTCTGATAGCTGAATGATATAAGGGAAAAAGTCACAAAAAATCTCGAACTACAGCCACTATGACACATATATTTTGAACTTTTTTTGTAATAACAAAAACTCCAAATTATACCCACCATTACACATTTATCCTAAATTATTTAATGTGAAATAAAAAACCTCAAACTTGTACCTATTTGATACATTTACCTTGCATCAAGGTTTCGTTAAATAATATTTCAGCCAAAACATTGTCATTTGTATTTCGCTCAAGTCACTTGGGTATTATGTCAATAATGTTTGCTTTCTAGCATCTATGTAGGCAGGTTCTCATTGACAGAACTTTGACGAATAGTAAGGCTCCGTTCGTTTGACGGAAAATATTCTCTCGGAAAATATTTTTCGGATTTTCCGGTGTTCGGGGGGCGGAAAACGTTTTCCGTGGGAAAATATTTTCCTTCCCCCCTTCACAAAATAGGTAGAGTCATGGAAAATGACTTCCGCTTCTTCAAAAGCGGAAATCATTTTCCTGAGCTTCTTCTTCTTCTTCACTAAGGTTGCTGTCGCCGCCGCCGCCCTGCTGCGCCGCTGCCGGGCCGCCCTGCCGCTCCACCGCCGCGTCGCCGTCGCTGCGCCGCCGCCGCCGCCAGCCGCGCGACCGCTGGCCGGCCGCGCCGCCGTCGCCGCGCCCGCCGATCGCGCGCGAAAAAATATTTTCCGAAACTTTTTCATATTGATCGCCGAACACCGAAAAATTATGGTCCGAGAAAACATTTTCCAGGAAAATGACTTTCGGAAAAATATTTTCCAAAAGGAGAATATTTTCCGCCAAACGAACGGAGCCTAAATATGTTACTGAAAAAAGTTCAAGGTAAATCTGTCACAGCGAGCATAGATTAAGGTTTTTTGTGGCTTCTGCCCATAATATAATCAAGGGTTAATACCACGAAAAACCCCAAACTGATACATTTGTGACAAATTTATCCAAAACTATTTTTTTGACCACAAAAAATCTCAAACCGGTACACCTGTCATAATTTTACCCCGAACTAATTTTTTAACCACCGAAAACCCCAAACTGGTACACCTGTAACAAATTTACTCTTCGTTAGTTTCCTTTAAATTTTACTGTCAAATTGCTAAGTTTGATGACATGTGGTAGTTGATAGGTATACTAGTTTGGGATTTTACCCCTCTGTTTGTCACAAGTTTATCAATTTGTAGTTTTTTATGATATTAATCCAATTTAACGGATACTAACGGAGGATAAATTTGTCATAAATGTACCAGTTTGGGGTTTTTAGTGGTCAAAAAATTAGTTTTTGGTAAAATTGTCACAGGTGTACCAGTTTGAGGTTTTTTATGGTCAAAAAATTAGTTCGGGGTAAAATTGTCACAAGTGTACCAATATGGGGCTTTTCGTGGTCAAAAAAATAGTTCAGGGTAAATTTGTCATAGGTATACCAGTTTGAGGTATTTTGTGGTCAAAAAATTAGTTCGAGATAAAATTATCACATATATATCAGTTTAGGGTTTTTCTTAGTATTAACCCTATAATCAATACTATCAAGAAAGTAAAAAATTAGGTTTTTGCTTCTATTTAAATGCAAATAAACATGTCGTTTAGTTTTCAAACCATCGGTTACGAATTCCATTGGAATAGTCAATGCATTGAAAATCGTGTGAATTATTTGATCGATTACTTAATAAGATCTCTCGTAGCACCTGCTAATAAAATTATGATTAGAGAAAAAACGATAAATGAACATGCTTAGGAGATGTAAAAATTTTCGTTTGAAGTAAGTGAATTTCTTAACACGTGTATTTCTCCAACTCCAAAAATGTATGAAATCTTTAAGTTGACTTAATTGGCGCCTTATGAACAATTGTTAATAATGTCCATTATAATAATAAATGGAAAAATTAGAGCATAACAGATTTCGTTGAAAGTGTACTATCCCTTTCTCCTTTGTCCCCCCTATGTTTCCCATTAAATATAAATACAAAAAAAACCCAAAGCAAGTTGCGCAAATGTCTTTAACTTTAACACAAAGTCATCGTTGGCGTTCTTTCGAAACATTATGTCGTTATTAAATATAGGCCATAAGTCTTAAGAATCTCCTGCTTTGTAAAAATCGAATTTACATGTGAAATACATTACGAGCAAAATAACAAGTAAGCACATGTTTACAAGATTTGCATGCTGAGACCCATATTTTGATGCCATGCCATGCCATGCCATGCCATGCATGTTATATAAGCATTTTTGCAGCTGATTTTGCAAACTTGTAGAAAGCGCACCACCAATGTATATTTATCATATTTAACTCGAGAGGGTTTGGACCGTCAATTGACACCATGACCAATCTTTAGTAAAAGAACGGTCCATATCAATATTATCAAATGGAGTCGCTCATTTTATTTACGGTCCCATTTGTTAAAAAACTAATAAGGCTATTATCATGTTAGTCGTCAGTCTCAATGAAAAGACTATATTTCCAAATTGATAATTATAAAAATCCTGTACATTTTGCCTTCAATAAAAGGTGTTTTGTGGTTTAACCCCCCCAAAAAAGGTGCTTTTCGAGAATAAAGAATTCACGGTGTTACATGTGATTTCTCCTCAATTAAATTTTCGATTAATTAAAATTTAGTGAATTAATAAGATATACTTGCATGCTCCCCGTGTTCATGATTGATGCCGCACCGTGGGCGGTTTTATAATGCGATTTGCCAGGATTCTTCCCGATTCTGGGGTCATATGGATCGTCACGACAATTGATTTAATTCTGATATTTAATTAACATATTGCCTGAAATTTAGGAGGTTGTCCAACCACACCCCTTTATTTTATGCAAGAATATTCCCTGTGCCATTATGCAGTCTATAGTATATTGAAGAAATAATATATATTTATAAACATTATGATAATCTCTTTTTTCTAATTTCTTTAGTTAGCTTTTCAGTAAAGAAAATGTCCCAGTTTGTTTCAGACGAGACCTCCATTCTTAGGGTTTCATATATGTCATGGAAGTTGACTAATGAGAAGATTAAATCTGAAGTTACGGGAGTGTATTGCTCCTTCTGGTGCGAAGTATATATAAATTAAAGCTTAGATGGGTTCCAAGCTTTGATAGGACATTATATTAATTTGGGAAAATTACCGAATTAGTCATTAACTCGCTATACGGATGTCAATTTAGTTATAAATTTTTTAATTATGTTAATTTGGTCCTAAACATTTGCGCGAAATTCCATTGCAGTCATTCCAGCCAATTTTTGCCGAAAATCGCCAACATAACAGTGTGCTAAAAGGTTCAATCATAACCGGCTAACCTAAGTAGCACACCGTCATATCAGCGATTTCCAGTGAAAATTGGCTAGAAATACTACATTGAAATTTCGCACAAAATTTTAGGATTAATGACAAAATAAAAAAATTTAGAACTGAATTAACATTCGTATAATAAGGTTAGGATCGATTAGAAAATTGTCCTATCAAATTTAATAGTATGCAAATCCATGCATATATTATACTTCTTCTAACCAAGTTATGCTTTGAACATGGTCGAGGACTCTCAACAAAGAAAATATGGAGAAAACACAAAGTATTTACTAGTATCGCTTCTCTCTCACATGTTATACAAACATTCTTACACCACCTAGGCTTCGTTTATTTCGTGAAAAGTAAATAATTTAGAAAATTTTTTCTTAAAAATGACTACTTGTATCACTTACAAAAATGAAAAAACAAAAAATATTTTCATCATTTACGAAAAATATTTAGACATTAAGTATTATCGATAATTAAAATATTGTCATCAACTAATTATTTCAAGTAATATAAGCGATCATTTTAAAAATATATATTTTAAATTATTATTTTTTGTAAAATAAATGGAGATTTAATTTTCATACATTTATTATATACCCAAAATTATGGTGATTTTTGCCCCCTAAAAAAGGACAACAGAAATGGTATTTAGAATTTAGAGGAAATCAAATGAAACTTTGATTAGATGCCTCTTTCTCTCTCTCGCTCTCTATCCCCAAGATAGATCGTGGTCATAATTGTTCTCCATCACGATGATCTGATCCTTATCCTCCTTTCCACTTTGGGTGGTGACCACTCAATGCTTTCACATCATGAATCGCGTAGTGTGCCACTCCTCGTTAGATAAAAATGGCAAAAGCATCATTAATATGCTGTCCATTATATATATAGTTAGATGCCCCAACAGGGCAAAAGAAAATAGAAAAAAAGACAAAAGGAACCACGGTGAGAGATCATGGAAGAGCTCCAACATAAATATTCTTCCTCAAGGTGTTGTGGACATAAAAAGGCTAAAACAAATTCAAGTTATACATCAAAAAGAAAAGTGGAAACTGGAGAAAATCAAATTAAAAGTAGAAAGCAGAAAATAAAACCCAATTCCTAACTATAGCGTATAATGCCTATGATGCACTTTAAAACTTCATGCATATATGATGGTGAAGAAAATGAAAATCGAAAAAAATGATG